ACGAGGAGACGATGGGGGTTTTTTTTTTATGAGGCAGATGCTCGGAGTGGCTGCAGAGGGTTTGTGCCAGGCAGGTGTGTTCACCTGGGCAGGGAAGGGGGATGCCAGGGAGGGGGGGGCACCACGGGGAGTTCTGGCCCCTCCGGGGGCTGAGGCAGAGCGGGATTATAAAATCATAAAATAGAAATGATAAAATTATAAATTTATTAAAAATCATGACATAATCATATATATTTATCCTATATTATATATAATTATATGATTTTTATATAATAAATAATATATATAATATATATTATTTATTATATATTATATATACATAATATTTTGTGATTTATATTTATTATATAAATATACAATATAATATATTGTAGGCTCCTGAGAGCCTTTTCCCTCTTGTGGGGATCTGGTGGGATCGTGGCAGACCATTCTTTTCACCTCCAGGCCCTGGTCTGGCTTCTCCTGCGGAGAAAGGAGCTGAGGGCATGTGGGAATGGCAGTGGGGAATCCCAAGGTTTTCCTTTGCTTTGCTCCCTGCAGGGCTGGAGGAGAACCCACCAAAGCCCGTCCCGGATACGGGGAACATCCTGAAACAAGGATACCTGGAGAAGAGATCCCGAGGTAAGACCTGGAACCACAGGGTAAGGTTTGGGGGTGTCCTGTCAGAATTGCCAATAATTCGACTTTTCAGGGGAAGAACAAGCAGGAAAACACTTTTTTTTTTTTCCCCTGCAGATTTGCACAGGCCAAATGTGCAAATTTTCCTTCTCAGGGACGAGGAGAGGGCCTTGATTTTTTTTCCTCTTTTGCAGATCATCCAACTGCACAAAGATTAAACCCCCCCCCCTAAAAAAAAATCGAATTAAGCAGCAGCCCAGCCCTCTGAGGCAAAATGTGCCCTTTGAACGAGCGATCCCTAATGAGGATAAAACCCCAGCAGTTGGGAGCATCACACACATTAAGGGCTTGAGATAAGGCCCCTGAGTCAGCCTGGAGTTTATCTCCATTTTTACCAACTCCTGTGAAAGCCACAAATTATTTCCTCATCACTCCGATTTTATCCTGATTTATTTACTCTGTGACAAGGTGGGAGGAGGCCAAAACAGCCCCTTTTTTTTTTTTTTATCCCTCCTGGCCATCAGCTGAGTTTAGGACTTGGTGCTTGGTTTAGCTTCCTCCAGCTGCAGACTAAAACTAATTTTACTTATATACATATCAGGGAGGTTTAACCCAAAGAGTGTTCCTGCCCTTTTAGCATCACATCCATCTGAAACACGCGGTGAAAGGACGAAAATGGCTGTTTTTCCCCTCTTTTGACGCCCTTTTCTTTGCCAGATCACAGCTTTTTTGGGGCAGAGTGGCACAAGAGGTGGTGTGTCCTCAACAGAAAGACCTTCTACTACTATGCCAACGAGAAGAGTAAGTGGTGAGAGAGACACACCCACATTTGTTCCCAAAATACGGAGGGAAAGGGATGAAAAAGAGAAAGGAAGAGCCTCTGCTGAAGGACTGGGTAAAATCCGACCTGGGAAGGCTGGGATTGATCCCTTATCAGGGTTCCAGAAAGGCAGAGCTCAGCTTGGTTTAATTTTTCCCCCCCTTGATGGGGATGAAATGAGAAAAAAGGGGACAAGGAACGGAGCTGGGGGGGTGAATAAAAGGCTGTTCCCAGTTTTCCATGAGCTCCAACCCCCGGTGTATTTAATCCTCGTGCCAGTGGGCGTCAATATTTTGCCGTCGTGCTCCATGGGGTCCATCCCGACAGGAGATGGATGGGCTTCCCAGGATTCCAGGGGTAGGAAAAGGCCCTACAACCCCCCCTCATCCAGGGGTTCCAACCCCCAGCAGGGACAGGGTTAAACCCCGGGGGGGTCCGAGGGTGAGGAGGGGTCTTTGTCCTCCTCCCACGTCCTTTGTCTGAGGAGCTCCAGCACTTTTTGTTTTCCCCAAGGAGCTTCCCAACTCCTCCCATCCCCGATTCCCAACTCCTCCCATCCCACCCCCTCGGGGTGTGAACTGCGGGGGGTGGGGGTTGAACCCCAGGGGTGAGATCTGGTGATTTTTGGGGTTGTTTGCTCGGGGGTTTTGGGGGATGAGCAGTTTTCACCTTCCAAACCATCTCCAGGGGATGGAGCGAAGGAATCCTGGGCTCGATGGGTTTCGGTGGGATGGAATTCTTGTGGAAACTCCCAAATTTAGCCCCTTTTTCTGCTTCCAGGCAAGCAACCAAGAGGCACCTTCTCCATCGAGCACTACAGTGCCCGGCTGGTTCCCCACCTCCGCAAAGATTCCCGGAAAAAATGCTGTTTTGAGTTAACCTGCCCTGGCAAACGCACCTACGAGGTAGGAAATGGGGGGAAAACGTGGAATTCTGGCCTGGGAATAAAAGCCCACAGTCCCAGATGTGGGGGTTGAGGTGCAGGCTGGACCTGCAGGGTCGGCAGGGCTGGGAATGTCTAAATTCCTGGGGAAATCCCGATTTGTTTTTGAAGTGAGGGTGGCACAGGTTTTCCCAGAGAGGTGGTGGATTCCCAATCCCTGGGAACACCCGAGGTCAGGTTGGATGGGGCTCTGAGCAGCCTGGGCTGGCTGGGGGTGTCCCTCATGTCAGGGGTCGGTGGGTTAGGTGGCCTCCAAAGGTCACTTCCAACTGGAAGAAATTCCACAATTCTGTGATTCCACGGAAACAAAACCAGCAGCACCTCGGGAGGGGCTTCTCCCCACCTGGGCAGGGAGCACAGGGGGTGATCCCGGGCTCTCCCAAAGGATCAGGGAGAACAGGGAGTGGAACCAGTCGAGGATTGAGTTGGAAAAGCCCAATTTTAACCGAGCCCTGCAGAGCCAGGTTAAATATAAACCTGCAGTTTATTGAGCATCCACGGGGGAAGCCTAAAAATCCAATGCACAGAGTGGGAATGAGAGCCTGGATGGGCTTCGGGGAGATTTGGGATGCAGGGCCCTGGCTCGGGGGCGGCAGCAGAGCCCGTTCCGTGGGGACCTTGGTTTCCATCGGAATTATTTTAACGAATTGAGCTTGACAGGCTTCCTCTGGGATGGGTCTGGCTTTGTCCTGCTGCTCCTTCCCTGCTTGGAACGGGGAGATAAAGCCCTGGAATGGCTTTTCCCGCTGTCCCAAGGTAGACAATGGCAGAGCCGGGATCGCCATTCCCAGTTTCCAAACGACTCCTCCCAACCCCCCCGGGGTGGGAACTCCTGCCGGGGGTGGGGGCTGAAGCCAAGGGATGAGGTTTGGTGGTTTCTGGGGTTGATATTTAGTTGTTTTTTTTTGGGGGAGGTGAGCAGTTGTCACCTTCCAGATCTTCTGCAGAAGACAACAGAGAAAAGGAAACTTGGGCTCAGTGGATTTCAGTGGGCTGAGATCAAATCCTTGTGTGGGGCTGAAATCCTCTATAGGGCTGAAATTCTTTTATAGGGTTGAAATTCTTTTATAGGGCTGAAATCCTTGTGTGGGACTGAAATTCTTTTATAGAGCTGAAATCCTTGTGTGGGGCTGAAATCTTTATGTAGGACTGAAATCTTTTTGTGTGGCTGAAATCCTTTATAGGGCTAAAATCCTTGTGTGAGACTGAAATCCTTTGTAGGGCTAAAATCCTTTTACAGGGCTGAAATCATTTATAGAGCTGAAATTCTTTTATAGGGCTGAAATCCTTTATAGGGCTAAAATCTTTTTATGGGGCTGAAATCCTTGTAGGACTTGTGGGACTGAAATTCTTTTGTAGGGCTGAAATTCTTTTATGGGGCTGAAATCCTTGTGTGGAGCTAAAATCCTTTACAGGGCTAAAATTCTTTTATAGGACTGAAATAATTTATAGGGCTGAAATCCTTGTGTGGGACTGAACTCCTTTGTAGGGCTGAAATCCTTGAGTGGGGCTGAAATCCTTTTATAGGGCTGAAATCCTTTTATGGGGCTGAAATCCTTTTATAGGGCTGAAAT